TTTTACTAAAGTACATATAAAAAGACAGACTAAACAAGCTTCAGGATAGGAAAAACAATAGTGTAAGATGTTAATTTTACCCCAATAAATATGTAAATTAAATGCAATATGAATTAATACCACAACAAGATTTTTTAAATAAAAGCTATGAGTTTCTTTTAAATTTATCTGAGGGAGAAATATGGAAAGATATGCTAAAAAGAAAAAATTGAGAGAGATCAACAGTGATAGTGTAAGTTGGGAATATGATCATTCCTTTGTTCCCTGTTTTTCCTTAGAGAAGAGAGGTTTTGTTGGAGTTTCCAAGAAAACTGGGCCTGGGGTGCTGGCATTCTCTTCCTGAAGCTACTTAAGTAATTGCTTTGCAGATCTCAACAGTCAGCTCCTAAAATCTAGTTCTGTAAGGAAGAAATACAAAGCTTTCCTTTGGCCCCAGGTCAGACTACGTCCTCTTACACAATATATTGGAAGTTCTATATTTTCAGGATGTTACTGGACACTGCCCAGCCAGTGTAAACCTGATGCCACATATTTTCTCTTATTGGACTCTAAATGTGCGTTGTCAATTTGGAGGGAATCCAGAGAGAGAGAAGTAATCAGCAACCCCAAATCTCCAATAGGGAAGTTGCCTTTGGAATTTCAAAATGAACCAAAAAGCAAAATGACACCTGTTAATTTAAGATATAACTAGGATTTCAAATAATGAGAAAATGGTGTTGAGGTCATCAGCTATACATTTGTTATTTAAAATTATATCTATACCTTATAGCAAATATAAAAACAACTTTTGGATTACTAAATAATCAAATACAAGATCTTACAGACTTATTAAAGGAAAGTATAGGAGGTTGTTTTGACAATCATGGAGCTGAGGGAATCTATAAAAGACATTAAACCCCCAAACCATAAAAAAAATTAATGGATTTACTAATAGAAATGAACAATTTCTGCACAGTGAGAGATCCAACTGCAGAGTTGAGAGGCAGGTAACAAATTGGAAGAAAGTACTTGCAACAGAGGCAAAAGAACTATCTAAGGGTCCCTACGGTTCAATAAGGAAATGCAAAATACCTAAAAAGAAAAATGAATGATAATTATAAACTGTCAGTTCTTAGGAAAAAAATACAAATGGTCAGCATACATATGAAAATATGTTTCAATTCACCAGTATTCAGGATTGTTCATATCAAAGTTGCAATTTTCCCCATCAGATTAGCAGAACTTGAAAAGATCTGTAATGGCCAATGCTAATTAGTATGCAGACTTACACTGTCATGAACTGTTGGTCAATATTTCACCTGACTCAACCTTTCTGAGGTCAATTTGACAGTATTTTTCAAAATTAAGATTTATATACTCTGACCACAATTCTATCTTAAAAATCAATGTTAGATATCATCTTCTCCTGGCTATGTCCTTATTTCTCAGTGTGTGATATCACAACTCAAACATTCAGTTTCAACCAAGAATGTTCCCAAGGCTACAACTCAGTTTCTCCTGACATGTTTAGCCAAATTTCTTGACCATACCCCCAGGTGGCTGGGTTAGGAGGGGCTTCCAGTCCCAGCCCTGTTCTGTGACAGATCGGCACTGTCTCCTATTTGGCAAAAGGTGAAGACCTCATCTGCCTGCTGGGTTCCAGAAAGTCAAAGAAATGAATGAAGCAGGGAGAGTAGGCATATATATGTGAGTGGAAAGCAAACTGCAGAGCATGTGCCCTGGCTAAAATAATCCATATTTACATGTGAAATATCCTGACTTTTAAATGGTTTACTAAGTTTTGTTTATTCACTACTTAAAAACAAAGAAAATATAATTTGTGGAGGGCAAAGGGAAAATAAGTTGTCGTATGAGAAACATCTTGATAAGCCTTTAATCTAGCCTTGGCCACCAGTCCAAGGTGTCCAAGGTGGCTCCTGGTGTCCTGCCCACACACAATCCATCGGAAGCCCTAGAAGTGTTGATCCTTCAAGAGCAAAAGGTCTTGTTATGGTTGTCTTCCCAGAAGACTCTTTGGCTCCTCTGCAGACGTGTACATCTCTTCCCCAGTGATAAGTTCTCCATACCAAGGGCATGGCATGGTGGTAAACAGCACTTGATTAAGCCATTAGAGGTTCTGGCGCTCTTCTCTTACCCAAGAGTAACTGCTTAACTTTTCAGTATGAAGTCACTCAAGTGGCTCTTCCCAGAGCAACATAAATCTGCTACAACTACACACTCCCTCTTCTTCCAGAAAGAGATGCATCTGGTAAATCATACATTGAAAAAATTAATGTCCTGCCTACTAACCCCTCAACAACATAATGACTAGTAGAAAAGCCATACATTTCAAGAAATATAGACAAACAACAAATACAAAATGTGTTCTGCCTTCTTACAAAGAAAGAGTTAAGGGATCACAACCTCCAACTTAAAGACCATGGTTACTCTATCCAGTCTGGAGAGTAGGCCCTGTTTTCATAGAGTAATGAACCACATTATTTCTGCCCCACAGAATTCTAACGCCGTCAAATATGGCAAGACAGATGATCCTATTTCAAATTATATTTTACAAAGCAAAACAGATATAACTCAGTAACTGTGCATCTAATTGACTTAATTGCCTCATTTATCACATGACTTAAGTGAGCTGATGTTTTCTACTCAGCTTCACCCATGTAATTCTTGTAATATAAGAGCTGAGACCTGGTGCCAGGCGTGAGCGAGAAATTCTCTCTCCTGAGAAAAGATATCATTGGAGTGATGTTGGCTTTGGGTTCCAGTTTATTGAAAAATCAATGTCCATTTGTGCAACCAACACATATGGCTTTCTTCCAGGCTGATGATGGCTTTGTGAGGCTGGCTATCACCTAATGAAGTCAGATCAGTTTACCCAGCCCCCGAGTTACAGTTGGCAAAGTGACTTTGTCATTAAAACCCAGTTTATCATTCCTGTTGGTGTTTTTCTTCCCATTTCACTCCCTCCTATCCATTTCTCCTGCAGCCACAGTATTGTTTTTCTCTCTGCAGATAACAGACCAATGGCTCCAAATTTTAACATTTCAGAGGTACTCAGTATGATGTTTGGTGCTCAAAGGATAAACAACTTTTTCATATGTCTATGTCTCTCGTTAGAGGCAGGAAAATACATATATACGTATATCATTCTACCAAGTCTTGACTCAAAATAGACATTTCTACAAAGTCAGAGCCAAGTTCGTAACAGGCTCGATTGAAATTCGTCAGCTTAGCTGCCTTGGGTAAATCAACAAGGCTGAGTTTGTCTAATGTGTTGATACGTTCCAATAAACAGAGTCCAGCTGACATTTTATGTGAGGCTTTTAAAAAAAATTAATTACCTGTAAAATAATACCATTTTCCCATTATTAAATAGAGTGGCAATCTAAATTGCAATGCTTGCTTTTTTTTTCTCCAAGAGAAAAATGTTCTTTTTCCCTGGGGAATACCCCTGGAGTGATAGTCACTGGCAACAGAAGCTCGGGCAAGGCAATGGGTTTTTTTCCCTCTGAAGTTTGCCAAGAGTAACAAATACTTCTATTAGGAAGTGCCAGCTCAGCTAAGCATGGTTCTTACTTGGGTCCATCATGGGAAGACCTCCCTCTCTATTAGTAAGGAATGTTTTGGTTGCAGGTAACCAAAATGAACTGGTTAATGTTAAGAACAAAAAGAAAAAGAAAAATTTATATATAAGTAAGTATATATATTTATAAATATATATAAATTTGCAAGGATAGCAGAAGGTCACAGAATTGGTGGGAGGACAGGGAACCAGCCACAGAGACTGGTATGAATCAAGTCACTTCCACTCCAAGAGGGAGGAAGCCAAGGTCTTTTAGCTCCAACAGCTGGTCTAGTGCTGCTGTGGCTGCTTCTATGAAAGACTCTAAACGGTCCCTCAGGTCATTGTGTTTCTTGCTGAACATTCGCAGTCCCATGTCTGGGCCACTGGTTGATTGGCCTGAGACATTTGCTCCCGCTCTGGCTAATGGTGCTCCAAAGAAAAGGGACATTGTATCTGGTTTCTCCCTCCAAGGAAAGAGGAGTTGGTGGGGAGGTCCCCCATATGACACCTTCTTCTCCACTCAGAGAAGGAGCACCTGAACTGGGAGGCCATGCAATGAAAACTGCCAGAGAGGCTACAGTTTCCTAAGTGTTTGGCATGTGCCTGGAGTGCTCAGATCTGTGGAGTCAGAAAGGAGTAAGACAGCAAAAAAGAAATCTGCGTTAGCAGTTGGAAGAAAAGTCACACTTATAAGAAGAGTTAAATAAATAATGGCTCTTCATTTTATCACCTGAAATATGAGAAAAAGGGAACTGGCCTGGCATATTCTCAATCTCAACATCTACATTCATAGTGTGCCCATATTAGGGCAAGTTTGGAGGCAGACGTGGTGGGCTTTTATCTGATGTCTCTCAAGTCACCCCATGATAAAAAGATAAAAACTACCGAGTTCAGCAGATTGTGAGAGGACTGGGAATTTGGGCTATATGTTCCTTGTATACAAAGGATTGAACATAGAAATTCTATTGGCATCTAATTGCTGGCATGTGCAGGCTGATAAGTGTTACCAAATGCCTTTCTAAATAAGTATGAGGCAGTATGGAAAGAAATGTTTCTCTGTTGGCTAAAGGGTGAAAGCAGTAACCTATTAAGAGAATTATTCTCAGAGGCTGACTGTTAATTGATTTTATGCGCATGATTTTAACAGCCAATCAATGGCAGGCTTGTAGCAAAGCAGCAGAGTAAAATATACGAAGCAGATTGTAGCCAAATGTGGAAAGCATCTGATCTTATCACTGAAAATATCTAGTTTAATGAACATACTTTTTACCAGTTTGGTATCCATAAACTCCAATGGAGTCTCTTGAGTTTCACTCCGAACAATTATAGGCACATGTTAACTTTTCTTTTTTTAACTAAAGGAAACCAACTTTATAAACTTAAAATTTTTTTTAACTGAAGTGAAACTCATATACTATAAAATTAAACTCTTTTACAGTATAGACTTCAGTGTCATTCAGTATGTTCACAACGTTGTGCGCCCATCACTATCTAGTTGGAACTATCGTTTGGAAAAGTGGAAGCAACTCAAACATCCGTCAACAGATGAATGAAGGAACAAGATGTGACCTGTCCGTGCAGCTGAACGTTATTCAGCCACCCAGGAGCGGAGTACGGGACGGGCTGCGGCGCGGGTGAACCTAGGACGCGCGGTAAGCGGCAAAAGTACAATAGGTCACATATTACGATTCCATTTCAGGAACTGTCTAGATGAGGCGAATCCGTAGGAACTTTATCCTTGCTTAGTGGGAGTGATGGCTGACTTAAGAGCTGCGAGCTCCTGTGAATGCAGGGGCCGCACCTCCTTCTTCTGTGTGTGTTCAGCGCAGAGCAGCTCCGGGCGCACGGAGACCCCGTTCCACCGGCCAAGGCTCCTAAGGGCTGCAGCCACCGGGACACAGGCGCGCACCTTTCAGGGACGCGTGAGGGCCTGGCCTGCCCTGCTGCGGACGCAGGAGGAACAGGTTACGCCATGTCTCGTTCCTGAGCCTCGTGCTGGAGCCTGACGGACAGGGGGTAGTGGGGGGGCGGAAACAGAGACCCACCGAACCCATATGGCTTTCTCATCGCCTCCAAGTTTCCAGCCTTGATGGTGAGGGTTTTCTTCACAAGAACCTGGTGCCCCTTCCTCAGGGAGCTCAACGCACACCTGCGCCCGGAGCGGGAGAGCCGGGAGCGGGAGGTGCAGCAGGACCTGGGAGGGCTGAGGGCCTGGCTCCCGCCACCCTCCAGCCGGACGC